AACTGTAGTTATTTCTGACGCATTTCGTCCAATGTGGACCACATTGGACGAAAAGCGTCATGCAATAACTCCAGTTTTCCTATTGTCATTTATATATATATATATATATATATATATATATATATATATATATATATATATTAGTAAATATACATACATATGCAAAATATATAAATACCCATACATGTATATTATTGAATAAAAAATTCCAAGAGGAAGAATCCAGATAGAACTCAATGTCAATATTTAAGCCTTTTTATTATATATATATATATATATATATATATATATATATATATATATATATATATATATATATAGTAATGATACAGTATGATGCAATATGGCAACATGGAATTTCCAGGATGATATAAATCCAGGGAGAGCTCTATATTATATTAAGAGACAGAGCAAAATTATTATTAATTAAGGAATATCAACAAACACCTGAAATACCATAAGTAATAATTTAATGGGAGCTTAAAAAAAAAAGAAACCAGCTCTCAATCTTGAATACCTACAAAGAAATCGAAAATCATTTCATTTGTGATCTGTTTGTAGGCGTGGATAATTAAGAGCTGCTTTTTTAAAAAGCGCTCATGAAATAAAAATTATTACTTATGGGAGTTTAGGTGTTTGATTCTTTTTGTTTGATACTCTTTAATTATTATCATTAATAATAACAATAATAATAATAATATGTCTGTGTGTGCGCGTGCGTCTCTGTGTACAATAATAACAATAATAATAAGAATAATAATAATATGTTTGTGCGCGTATGTGTGCATACAATAATAATAATAATGATAATATGTCTGTGTCCGCGCGCATGTGTGTGTTTGTACAATAATAATAATAAGAAGAAGAAGAATATGTGTTTGTGCGCTTATGTGTGTGTAAAATAATAATAATAATAATAATAATAACAATAGACTAATTGAAGGGATTCCTGGAAGTCCATGCCTAAACGAGATACAAAAAATTGTTCTGACAAGTACAGCCCACACTTTACGATGGGCTTTATCTATGTAATTTTTTTTCTTTTTTTTTTTTTTTGTTTGTCAGTGGAAACTGTCATGATGCCATTTCTAACCATAGGTCCCTGGGCGGGACCCGGAAAGAAATGTGTAAACGCCAGAAATCAAAGAAAGTAAAATAATAATAATAATAATAATATGTCCGTGTGCGCGTGTGTGTCTCTGTGTACAATAATAATAATAATAATAATAATAATAATAATAATAATAATAATAATAATATGTCTGTGTCCGCGCGCATGTGCGTGTTTGTACAATAAAAATAATAATAATAATAATAATAATAAAATGCCTGTGTGTGTGCATGCGCGCGCTCGTGTGTGTGTGTGTGTGTGTGTGTGTGTGTATGTGTGCGTACAATACATTTATTAATAAGATTTGAAATTAAAGCATGCAAGATATTCCCGCTACCCACTCTATTTCTGCCTACTTTAGTATCTGGTGGGAAGAAACTATACAATTATTAATAAGAAGAGTTGAAATTAATGCATGCAAGATTTCACAGTTCTAGCATCACTCCTTGACTGGAAGGCTTTTTTTTTTCAGCCCACCCACGTATAAAAGCTGTCTTCTTGTAATTTATACCTCCTTCCCGCTTTATTTTCGACATTGTCTAGGTGCTCTTGCTGTTTCCTTTCAATATCTACCATCAACACGGTGTAATTTATTTATCTGTTATTCTTAATCTGACGACCACAGATAATAAATCCTCGTAGGAATTCTCCTATATTTTAAATATATATTAAAAATTTCCGATTTGAAAGGCAGCTGCAACGGACAACATGTCGTCTAAATTACGCAAAAATGAAAATAATACTGACATCTCATTTTAACAGATATATTTACCAAAATTACACAAAAATAACTTGAAATACTAAATTTATTCAATAAAATCGCCATTGGTTTCAACCACTGCCTTCCAGACTACTTCGGAAACTCCTGCAACTCTTCTGAGCGGTCTTCTTGTTTAAATTGGTGAATGCTGCAATAATCCTTGCCTTCAGTTCATCTTTGATGTTACAAGGAGCTTTGTTGATCACCTCACTCAACTGCGCATCACACATAATAATCAAGGGGTTGCAGTTTGGGTAGGTAGATAGCCAGATGTAAGGGGTGAATATCTCACAGCCATGACTGGGTTCTCCTGCTTGTGCGGCATGGTGCAGTGTCCTGTTGCCAGATGTAGGGTTTTCCAGTAGCCACGCTCTTGACCTATGGCAGCACTACCTCCCTGGTTATGGAACTGACTGACTGAGAGGGATCGTTTTTAATCATGGCCTGGATCTCACCAACAAAGTCTTTTCCGAGCTGCCATACCATCGTAATCACTATTAGAGTCATCCAACCATTTACAAATCCTCTGCATTGTCCTCACATCGACACCCAAACACTCTGAAATGTTCGTATTGAGGCTTCCAACATGAATGCCAAGCAGTACAGCATGGCCTTTTCAAATTTCTGGCGTGGGGGTGGGGGCGTCATTGTGTTCTTTTTCTCACAGACAGCGCTCATCTCACATTGTAGAATAAGAAGCGCACACACCTACGCATGCAAATACATATGTACGCATATATAGACGCTCCCAGACACAAATACATACACGTGTGAAGATTTGGAACATGTTCAAAAAGCCGCACCAGGTCTGCATCAAAAATTCGGATAGACGGGACATTTCGGAATCTGTCGATCGTTGTGCTAGAATGAAGTGACAAGTCATCGTGACCGAGTTGGAGAATACGCGCTTTGTTCAGCAAATAAACACACCAGACTGAGTGTTCTCTTCTGGGAATTGTAACCACGGTTCGTTCAACATAGAAGCGGTATAAATCACTGGTTGGTTTTTCTGGATGGGGAAGTGTTGTAACATACCTACTGACGATAATGGGTATGTCCCCATTCAGATAAATATAGTAGTGAATACTCTATGTTAGTCTGCAGTTAGAGATTCGTCTCTAGCTGTGTTGGTCAAACTCTCTGCCTCCGGGCAGAGAGGATCCCCAGACGAAGGCTATGTCGAAGGTCAGAGTCTCATCTCGGGAAACCACTACTCGACCCCCTTTTCTAAGGGATCTACGAGGAATTTTTGGTCGAGCCTACTGGCTCGGATACCTTACATTAAATTCGGCCTTGTGTCCCATCTGACCGCGTGGGGCGGTTGGTAGATACTGTCGGGCGGCCTGCAGTAGGAGATTCGTCTTCAGTTGGGCTGGTTAAGTTCTCTGTCTCCGCGCAGAGAGCTTCCTCAGACCACGCTATGTCGAATGGCAGAGTCTGGAAAACACCTACCCGACCCCGTGATAAACGGGTTTTACAGGGAATTTTTGACCGAGACCACGGGCTCAGATACCCCACATTAAATTCGGCCTTGTGCCACATCTGACAGCGTGGGGCGGTTGGTAGATATCCTGCAGTTGGAGATTTATTGTGGAATTTATTTGACTCACTTCTAGCAGTTGACTACTACTTGTACGCGCAGCTGGCGAATCTTATATGTGTTGTTCTTGTCCTAAGTATTACTGTTCATTACTAACCTTCGTTTGATTATTCTATTCAGCAACCTTCCCTAGGTTACAACAGGAAAAATACTAATGTGCCGGAATAAGCTCCAGCAACAGGGATTAGCTAATCACCATTGTAAACTCCATAGACGGACGGGTACCTACTAAACTTGCATATATATCGGTGCACATGTTTATGTGTGTTCGCGGACGTGTATGAATATGTGTGTGTGTTCAAGCTTCAATGTTTTTCACGCCTGCCCGACTGTTTCGCCCCAGGCCTCGATCAAGAACGAAACACGACTTTTCATTATCTGACTGCCGCGTGACCAGTACTGCGGCTCAAGTAGCGAAGGCATTAAATCCTTTTGGTTGATTGGCAAAGGTTAATAAACACATTAACTGTGCGTCCCTTCAACATCGTTAACAATGGTGGTCAGTGCTTGATCGCACCTGTCGTAATTACAGTGCGTCCGGAAATCATTACAGATACTTCGTCAGATTTATGTCATTATTTGCAACACCGGCGTAGCAGTTGACGTTTCTGGCGAGTAAAGGTCTCGCTTTACGTTTAACTTTGATATTTGAAATATTGTACTAATAGCTTCGGTCGGATAATAAATATTTGATACCGAAAGAAATTTAGATCATAATTGCTATAAAATGACTGCAGACTTCAACCAGGAACATGTACAAACGCCGAGGTGTTCATTTTTGACGAGGTTGTTTAGATATTTAATTCTTATTACACTAGGCTGGACGAGTGATTTGAACGTGCTATTTCCGACCATTAGGCAACAGGTTCGAATCCCACCGTGGCCGATTTGTCAGTAAAATGTCACCGTGGTCGAATTTTCAGAAATTTGACAAGATGTCACCGTAGTCGATTTGTCAGGAATCTGAGAGAATGTCACCGTGCTAGATTTGTTGGGAAAGTGTCTCCTTCATGTTACTTGGCCTGTTATCGTGGAAGAGATCCCAGCGTGCATCACCTTTGGAAAGCGCCTAAAAACCGTACCACGAGTTGACAGACATGTGAGTGAAATTGGGTATACAGAACGATTGGGGGGGGCTGTTGATGGTTATGCTAGTACGAAGTCACAAGTCATCGTGACTGAGGGTTTTAGTGCGCTGACTTTGTTCAAACTGTCGATCACGTTAGATAATGCGATCTCCCCCAGAAACTATAACTAAGGTTCGCTCAGCATAGTTGCAGTATGAAAAAGGTGGGGTCTCTGGGTGATGAACAATCACAAATGATCCTTAGCAGGCGTCTCCCACGGGGATTTGATACGAGCAGCGATCTATTATAGTAAAGTGCTTGACCAATTCAAAAATTTACTAATAGGAAGATTGTTCTGCACTAATCTTCCAGGTTAGTATGACTTTAATTTTTAAGCACTTGCCTCGATCAATATTCTCTTGTAAAATAGTTTTTAAATTTTGCTGTATTTATAGGTTAAAGATGCTTAATAACGGCGACAGAGGTTTTATGTAAGATACAGTGTGGAAATAGAAATCAAAACTTCATTGCAACAGGCATCTACACTATGTAAGTGATCATCAGCCCATAACACAGGGTCTGAAGAGAACGTAAGTCGTGGAACTGTTAATCACCAGTCATCTGCATGTCCACAATCTATCTATCTATCTATCTATCTATCTATCTATCTATCCCGTTCTGTTTTCATATCTATCTATCTATCTAATTCTGTTTTCATGTCTATTTCAGTTTCTTCATATCTATCTATCTATCCCGTTCTTTTTCATATCTATCTATCTATGTATCCCATGCTGTTTTCATATCTCAGTCTCTTCATATCTATCTATCTATCTATCTATATATATAAAATATATATATATATATATATATATATATATATATATATATAATTCTGTTTTCCTGTCTATCTATTTCAGTTTCTTCTATCTATCTATCTATCTATCTATCTATCTATCTATCTATCCCATGCTATTTTCATATCTCCGTCTCTTCATATCTATCTATCTATCTATCTATCTATCTATCTATCTATCTATCTATCTATCCCATTCTGTTTTCATATCTATCTATCTCAGTTTCTTCATACCTATCTATCTATCTATCTATCTATCTATCTATCTATCTATCTATCTATCTATCTATCCCATGCTATTTTCATATCTCCGTCTCTCTCTATCTATCTATCTATCTATCTATCTATCTATCTATCTATCTATCTATCTATCCCATTCTGTTTTTCATATCTATCTATCTCAGTTTCTTCATACCTATCTATCTATCTATCTATCTATCTATCTATCTATCTATCCCATGCTATTTTCATATCTCCGTCTCTTCATATCTATCTATCTATCTATCTATCTATCTATCTATCTATCTATCTATCCCATTCTGTTTTCATATCTATCTATCTCAGTTTCTTCATACCTATCTATCTATCTATCTATCTATCTATCTATTCCCATTCATACATTATACATATATAATGTATTTGGGCAGAAATGCCCCTTTTATAAAAGTTTCATTTAAGACGACTGCGATTAAACATGTATTCATTTTTTCTTCTCTTTGTATAAATGATTTGTTTTCTGGACATAAAGTGAAAAAAAACTGTCCTAATGATAGCCGAGCACTCTCGACTGTTCTATTAAAATATTTTTTTATTCAAGGATGGTTTCTTATTTTTAACTGAATGTGTAGATTTTTATATCTGTTTCTAGAGTGTTGGGAATTATTTGTATTTTTTTTTTTTTACAAACAAGATCAATTTATTATATAATTTTATATACTTTAGATTCTTTTTCACAGAAAAAAAACATCACCCATTTTGTTAAATTTCTAAGCATGAATAAGCGCTGTAAATGAGTTAATAAATCAAACCAATTCTGTCCATATGGATTTGAGTGAATATGTAGAAATTCTCTTTTCGCCGTTAGCGGGCATTTTAGAAAGCAAAGAAAACGGGACGGATCAAGATAATTCTTTTCTAAAAATGGCTAACATCCCTGCCGAAAATGCCCTTAAAGAAGACCCACACCAGAAAACGAAAATCAAAAACCATCTGGAAACAAGCGTGGACGGCGCGAACAGAAAAAGAAGCCAAAATTTGCTTTTGCTTCCCTTGACGTCGGTAATTTTTTTTTAATGGTAAAGGAGAGAAGAAAGAGAAAAAGTGACAGAGATATGTTGCGCAGGAGAAATTGCTAGCGATGACATATCACAGTTTGATCAGAAAACCCACTGGACAGGAAGAAGAGAAACGCAGCTCGAGCAACTAACACTGGAGACCTCGCCAACGCATTCTCTCGTAGTTTATCGGTTGAACTCTCGTCTGGTTGTCTTCAAGGGAAATAGATGCGCACAGATCATTTGCGCTGATATTGAAACGGTGCTAAATTATGTGTTGGTGTGTTGTCTCTTTTGGTGAGCTAAGGAGGCGGGTAGGCGGCAAGAAGTGCTTGAGAAACACTTGGAAGGTGGCTATTGTTAGAGTGATCTTGAGCGGTTGCAGTGTCGTTGATGGCGGCGATTGTGTGATCTGGTGTCAGTGATGGCCATAACACAGATGGGAGAGATGAAATTGCTCCTGGAAATCGACTACAGACAGAAACATCTCTCTATTCGGTTGCGTCCCTTTAGCGCTATCTCGATGGAAAAAAGGCTCCATTTTCGTTCTGGTTTCTTTGGGTTTTTTTTTTTATTGAAATCTATGTTTAAATGTCTCTTCCGGCTTTCTCACTCTTTTGCATAAGATTTTTTTAAAATCCGTGTTTGACGTTTCTTTTTTAGTCCATTATATATATATATATATATATATATATATATATATATATATGTGAAAGTGTATATAGATATAAATAAATATATATATGTATAATTATTTATATATTATATACGCGGTACTTATTAGAACGCGCTCACCCAGCACATTAAATATTAAGCATTAAGTATTAAACGTCACCATATAAATTAACCAATAAGGATTACAAATTTCTACCTGTTACATATACACAGTCACCAAAACAAACAAATAACCAGCTTTAAATGTAACAAATAAACCCCATTTTTTCAAAAATTTAAAATAAATATAAATAATAATAATTTTTACCTATCATAATTTTACACAAACCCCACCACACGTATATACATACATGCGAGGAAATATTCAGCGGAAAAATAAATAATATGACATGTATACATTCACGAGCCATTCACGAGACATTTCCGCCACACTTCCAATCTTTAAATTTCAACATTTCAACATACAAATGCGTATGTATAGACACAACGCCACCCGTATACATACATATGTCATATCCGAAACTGCCCATATATGTTTATATATGTATGAGTCCCGACGGACGATCAAGTATGTATATGTGTCTGCATACATCGATGTTTGCGTTAGTACGATGACATAAGCGACAAAGTTTCCCCCACCACTTCCACAATAACACCAATACACGCAATCTATATAAACCCAATTTTTTTAAAAAATTAATCAATTTTTCTGACGATCGCTAAAGCGTGAAACCTAGGGTCACAAACTCATCTATCTATCCATCCAAATATATATATATATATATATATATATATATATATAAGACATTTTTATGTTTATACGTTCTTTTTTTATAGATACAAATATTTAAGTAAATGCTCTGTTTATAATAAACAGTATTAAACAACATTTACGGGCATGAATGTCCGAGAAATTTTCATCGAAATCATTTGGATTCAGACAGGAATCGAACCTGTATCCTATACGGAACCGTCATATAACCTGACGTGCTTTTAACCGATTTGGACACAGAAGAGCGTTCGGTTAGCGAGGTCGATTTTATTTAAATATTTGTATGTATAAAAGAATGTAAAAACATAAAAATGTCTTAAAATAATTGTCGGAATTTGTGCATTTCATAATATATATATATATATATATATATATATATATATATATATATATATATATATATATATATATATATGAATTAACTTGAAAATCAGAAGATCATTTGAATCCGCTACCTTATTTCAACCTTATGGTATACTCAGTCTATTTTTATCAAATGGCTTCTTAACGTCATTAGAGGTTATTTGATAAATATCGCCTGAAGATACCATAAGGCTGAAACCAAGGTAGCTGATTCAACTGATCTCCCTGATTTTAATTTAAAAAGCTTTACATGGTATTTTTTACTTTAATTTTAATTATATTTTTTTTCAACACGGCTATTGAGCATTTTTTCATACTACCGTTCTCTGGTATGATTCAACTCTGACCATTAAACTTTTATGATATATATATATATATATATATATATATATATATATATATATATATATATATATATAAGACATTTTTATGTTCATACGTTTTTTTTTATAGATAGAAATATTTAAGTAAATGCTATGTTTATAATAAACAGTATTAACAACATTGACCGGCCTGAATGTCCTAGAAATTATCATAGAAAATATGCCTCCTCCGACAGGAATCGAAACCGTATCCTATACGCAACCGTCATATAGCCTGAACGTATAGACATAAATAAGAACGTATAAACATAAAAAAAAATCTCTTAAATAATTGTCGGACTTTGTCCATTTCATAATGTATGACGTCATTTGTTTTCATTTGGATGCGCATCGAGCAGATATGAATGTACGAAAGAAAATCATGGAGAATTGTAGTTTAAAAAAAGCAAATCGACCTTGCTAACCGAAACGCTCCTCTATGGCCCAATCGGTTAATGCACGTCAGGCAAATGATGATTTCAGAAGGAGATGGAAAGTACTTGGGATATAAAACTGATTATCGCTGTTACAGTGCATGTCTTGAAAATTATGTGAAAGAGCTAGCATTTCCGTCGCCGAATTTTTTTTTTTTTTAAATGGTCGTCCATTTGGTGAGCGGATGTGTCAAATCCTAATCTGCAGAAACACTGAATATAGCAAATAACCGCTTGACAGAAAAAAAGACGAACTATAAAAATTCTTCTTTATTGAGTTCTATTAGACTTTCAAGCCACGGAAGAAAAAAAAAACTCTAATTTTATGTATATTTCTTTACAAAAAAAAAACATCGTGTAATATAAACGTTATTCGTTTCTATTAAGATTGGCTTTATTGTGAGTTTAAATAGGAATGGCCATTTATTTATTTATAGCTACTTGCTATTTTGAATAAGACACATACGACATTGAACTAATACTTTCTTTATTATCAAGTTTGACTTTAAAACGAGATGGGGGGGACGGAGACATCACGAATGAAAGAAACAAAACATAAACACGTATATAGGCCTTTAAAGTGATCAAAAAAAAAATTTATTCAAACCAGTTAAAACTTCCAACGCCGTAAAAAATGTGTCGGGTTAGAAACAGAGGAATTACTTATAGAGTTCAAGTAAAAATAGGCCCCCACCGTGCTAGGAATATTTTTTACAATGGTTCAAATTGGATACAAGCGCGTCAAAAAGCCAAGTCTTTTTCTTTTAATTATTTCCGTTCTTAGTTTAGTTCTTGGATTTTACCAACACTCAAAAAGGGAAGGAATGAAAAATGAAATAAGAAAACAAGTATTCTTTAAAAAAAAAAAGTTCTGGAAAAAATAAAAACGAAAGAATATTTTAAAATTAATGAATGAATTTTATGAACAATGAAAGCAAGAATGAAAAAATGAACGAATGAAAATTTACAGGGAATGGCATAAAAACTGGTAAGGAAAAAGTATAATAAAAATTCACAGTGTTAGTTTGGCTATTTATCTACAAGAAAAAATATCTCCACCGTACAGATTTTATTTTGGGTTGATATCTACATAGTAAAACAGGTGTTACTTTGGCTCGTTATCTTTCCTTTGTAGATGTCAAGCCAAAGTAGTTCTATGTCCTACTATGTAGATATCATTGTTATTTTTAATTTATTTTGATTAAATGTTATTTTTTTCAAATTATTAGCCGATGCACATGCTGCTTTTCGTTAAAATATAAATAAAAGAATTTTTTTACCTACATTTTCTTTATGTTATTTATATGTTATAATATATTTCACTATGAAGATATTACAAAATAAAATTTGTACGATGTAGATTTTTTTTTCTTGTAGATAACAAGCCAAAGCAGATATTTCTTCCTTGTAGATAAGAAACCAAAATATATCTTTCTTGTAGATAACAATCCAAAATAGATATTTATTTCTTGTACATAATTATCCAAAAAATCTTGTAGATTTCTTGTAAAATAGATGATTCTTTCTTGTAGATAACAATCCAAAATAGATATTTATTTCTTGTACATAATTATCCAAAAAGTCTTGCAGATTTCTTGTAAAATAGATGATTCTTTCTTGTAGATAACAATCCAAAATATAATATATTCAAAGATTTCATTCTTGTAGATAACAATCCAAAAATGATATTTCTTTTTTGTAGATAACAAACCAAAATATATCTTTCTTGCAGATAACAATACAAAATAGATATT